TACTACCTCCTCTCTCTCTCTCTCTCTCTCTCTCTCTCTCTCTCTCTCTCTGGGCAGAGGTTATGAACATCTAATAACATAAAAATAAGTATAAAATTAAATAAAGAAGGTAGACCCTCCTTTTAATAACATGAAAATCAGCATTAACATTTTTACTTTTTTACAATGTTTCAAACATCTTGCACAACATTTGGTATGAAAAAATAAAATTATTTCAAGAATTTAAATAGATTTCTAAAATTTAAAAAACCAGCATTGCATAACTAAGTTTATACCCTTCAAATAAGTATTGACAATTAAAGAAATGAAAACAGGGCATCCAACACGGACACATAACTATGTCATATCAAACTGCTTATTATGAGATCATAATCAGAAAGCGTATCAGCAGAAAAGAGAAAATAATCCATATTGTAATAAAGAAAAAAGCGTTCGAAACGTAGCTTCAAAATTCATGAACAAGCCCCACTATAAAAATCACATAATGCCTTATGCTAACTGCACCCTATATTTAAACTTCAAACGCACACATTGCATTGGAACATGCATTACTCCTAGTGTTTCAAAAAGCGGACCGCCCAACACCTGGGCGGCCGAATAGGCAGGTGCCCAAGGTTTTCTGCCTTTGGCGTCTAGGCCTGGGCAGGGTTTTCTGCCTATTGTTGGCACCTAGGCCCCCTAAACCACCTAAGCAGCCGCCCAAGGACTGCGCCCCGCCCAGAGGCGAAAATCAGTTTTGGTAGGGGCATTTTTTGTCTTTTTTTTATACTAAAGGGCCAAATGTCTTGTTTTCATGTTTATTTGTAAACCTAAAACATATTAGAGACCATTTTAGACAGAGAAAAACCCCAAAAAACCAATTTTTGGTAATTTCATTAGGATTGAAGGGTTCCTCAAAGTTATGAGAAATTGATCAAAACAACATCCATTGATATTAGATTTAATTTGTGATGTTTTATAAATCTATTGGAGGTTTTTTAGAAGATTTTGAGTCTTTAAAAGCATTTTTGAGGTGGAAGTTTGGAGATTGAGCAATCGAAGAAAGTGATTTTTTTTATTGCTTGTATAAGTTGTATTATTTTGAGATGTCTTCTTCGGTATCTAATAAGAGTGGTGATCTCGATTGGAAATATGGCTACAACCTAGATCCTAATGATAAAAATTACATAAGATGCAAGTTTTGTGAGAAGGATACAAAAGGGGGCATAAACCGTTTCAAGAAACATCTTATCGGTACCAGGGGGGATGTTGCCCCATGTAAGAAAGACTCTTGATACTGTTAAAGAGGAAATAACCAATTTTTTGAGTATGGTAAAAATGAAAAAATATGAGAAATTTGCCTCCATAGCAGAGATTAGGTCTGGGTTTGGGTCAGTTATGATGATGATGATAGTAATGAGGATGCGGAGGGATGTCAAGAGGTAGAACAATCCATTATTAGGAGAAAGGGAAAGCGAGTTGTAATTGCTTCTGGGTCTGAGAGTAAGAAGCCTTGGGTTAGAGGCCCTATGGATATTTTTTTGCCTCGACCTAACCCTGAGGTTGCAAGAGAGAAAACAAAGAAGCAAACCACTATTGAAAATAGAATGAAGAAGGAAGAGAGCGATAGAGCTATTTTTTTTATTGCTACATGGTTTTATGAGGCGAGGATTCCTTTCAATAACGCTCGCCTAAGCAGCTTCTATGCCTTAGTAGAGGCAATTGGCCAATTTGAGCCTAAGATGAAAAGCTCAACTCCATATGAGCTTTCAGAGCCTCTTTTGGAAAAAGCAGTGAGTGTCAGGAGGGATGCTGCAGAAGTTAAGAAAGATGTAATGGCTCGGTATGGAGTTTCTATTATGATTGATGTTTGGAGTGATAGGAAGAGAAGAAATCAGATGAATTTGCTTGTGAATTGTCCTTTAGGGACTATGTTTTTGAGATCTATTAATGTATCTGATTATACCCATGATGCCCATTACATATTCCAAGTTGTAGAGAAGAGAATCAAGGAGAGGTGGGGAGCATCTTGTTGTACAGGTTGTCACAGACAATGCTGCTCCTAATGTTGTTGCTGCTAATTTGTTGCGCATAGCTTACCTAGAATCTTTTGGACACCTTGTGCAGCACATTGTATAGACCTCATGCTTGAGGCTCTTGTTTAACCGAAATATCAGGTGCAATGATGAAGGCAAAGTCAGTTATAAATTTCATTTATAGCCACCATCTCACCCTCAGCATGATGCGTAGATTTACAAAGAAGAAAGAGATTGTGAGGCCTGGGGTCACGAGACTTGCGACCTGGTACTTATGCCTAGATAGCATACATTCGAGGAGAGTGCAGTTGAGGCAGATGTTTACCTTCGATGATAGGAGAGCATGCAAGTGGTCCAAAGATCAGGTTGGGAAGAAGGTGAGAGATATTATTTTTTCTAAGGCTTTGTGGCGAGGGGTGAAAGGTGCTCTTAAGGTATTTTTTCCTCTTGTCAAAATCCTTCGCATGGTTGATAGTGACAAGGCTTCTATGGACTACATATATGAGGCTATGAAGAAATGCAAAAGAGAGATAGCCCAAAATTTTGATGATGAAAAGAACCGCTACAAGCCTGTTTGGGAAATTATTGATGAGAAGTGGGATAGGCAGCTACATCGGTCATTGCATGTAGCTGGTTATTATTTGAACCTAGCTTTTTTTTATGTTGACAAGGAAATACACACAAATAACACAATTATGACTGGATTTAATAAGTGTATAGATTTACTAGTCCTTGATCCTGATATCCAGGATATTATATGTGCTGATGAGCTGATAAATTACAAGTGCTCATTAAAGCCTTTTGGGAGTCCAATGGCGATAACCCAAAGGACCAAAATTGATCCAGGTAGTAATAATATTCTTAAGTTCATCAAGTTCAAGTAATCAAGTTTCATTTTTATAATTTTATTATTTATTTATGATTTTATTCTATATCTTTGCAGCCAAATGGTGGAGCCAACATGGGTGTATTTATCCAAATTTACAAAAATTGGCCATTCGGATCTTAAACCTAACCACTTCCTCATCTGGTTGTGAGCTCAATTGGAGTACTTTTGAAGGGGTAAGGCCGTAAGGGTAATTTGTATAATTGTAATAATAATACATGAACCATAGATTTTAATTAGTTGCATTTGATTTTGTTAGATTCATACAAAGAAAATGAACAGGCTTGAATCAAAGAGGCTCAATGACCTAGTTTATGTCAAGTATAATCGATTCTTGAAGGACATGTTTGCTAAGAGAGACCCCATCAAATCAAAAAATATGGACAATGCTATGGAGTGGTTAGTTAATGATGATGAGGTCGAGGGGTATGAAGGATTGACATGGGTCATGGTTATGGATGCTTCAGGGACATCAGTCGACCCTCCTAGGGCCACTAGATCTTCTGCACAGAGGAGGAGGGTGGAGGAAGAGGAGGAAGAAGAGGCAGATTCAGAAGAGATGGAGAAGGACGACCAATATGTCAAGGAGGGTGACGACTCCGATGAATATGATGCAAATGCAACTGACCCTACTTTTTCTGATGATGAATGATAAATAATGATTCAACTTTCAACATTGATTGAAGATTCTTTTGAGTCTTCAAGTATTACTTTCATATTTGTTTTCTTCCTCTTGGCTGTGTATTGTGGATAGTGGATTTGTAGTTCCACTGGTTTGGTAATTGGTAACTTTGGTTTGCTAATTTGGTTGGTAAATTTTAAGTTTTAATTGGACATGGACCGACTTATGATTATGCTTATGGAGTGTGTGCTAATGTATAGTATATTTTGAATTCTAATGTGCCCTAAATACCTAATTCTTATATTTTATACAATATATATAATGTTTGAGACTGTAAAATCCTTTTTGGATTCAACTGGGCCTCCCAAGCTTTGGGCGCCTGCCTCGGCACTTGGAGGCCTGGACCCCCTAGGCCGCCTAGGACCCCCTAGGCCGCCTAGGACCCGCCTTCGCTTTTTGAAACACTGATTACTCCCACAAGAACTCTCATCTATAGGTTTTACCAGTCAAATACTCGAATGTACAAAGAGATTGGCAAAACCAGTCCATATGCCTCAACAGAATACCGAACAAAATTCTAGGTTTATTCATAGTCATCATAACAATGGCCAATGGTTCTTGAAATTTTCCCTGCTACTTCAGATCGATCCCAACTAATCAGGTTGATGGCATGTTTAACAAAAATATATATATTCAAAAATATTTATTCCATTCAAATAGGCAAAAGAAGCTTTTTTCCAGGGCCAAAAGATTTTCAAGTCAAATATCATATACATGAGGCACGACAGAACAAATTATCCACTGAATTCAGCCATCAAATTTCAAGAAAATGTAACTACAATAATCAATAACACATGAAATAAGTGGAGGATAACAACTCCTAAACCGACAAGAAATAAAAATTCCATACACAAACAAAAGTTAACACTTAACATGAACACCATTATGAGCCAATACATGTACATTT